ATTATATAGCTATCAGTGCTACAGTTTGGTGGGGCCTGTGCTAGAAAACATCAGTGGATTGCTTCCACAGGGTCTTTTTTTGCACAACAATCGTGCCAAAAATGTGCTTAGCTGTTGCCTTGCCTTCCTGCAAGTCCCTTTTCTAAAGAAACTGTGTGTTTGAGCATGGCAGGATGAGCATTCCCAGGTGTGGAATTGTACAGCAAGGCAGCAAAACATCCACAAAGATCTATATTTTTAACCAACCAAGCATTTTCATAAAATGGTGCCAGCATAGGGGAGGGGAAGCAGTATGGCTCAAGATTAATTAACAGCACTAAAAATACCAAGTTTTACCTGGAACATTTGTGTAAGCATATTCCATGTAGCAACCTGAATAGCAATTAAATGTGCTATCTGGAAGGGAAGGGAATATTGAGGGCTATCCCAACAACAAAGACATTTTTAAGGGATATGATACAGATTGGCCTGTTTCGCATGTAACGGGAAACCATGGTTTTGAGGTAGGACTTGTGTTCACATTTCCTCCCTTAATACATGCGAAGAGAGGATAAAAAAAGCTTACACTTTTGAACTAACCACAGTTCCCTGTTACAATCTGCTCTTGTGGAATTTTGGCTACTTAGTACAGTAGCATGTCAAACCACAGTTCAATCCTAGTATGTGCCCCAACATAGGAAACTGTGGTTTGTTCTAATGGGGAACTTTGGTTAGTACAGTAGAGAAAGACCTCTATCTCATCCTTCCACATCCAAAAACTTAAGAGGAGGAAGGGGCAGCCTGCAAGCCTGGGGCAGTATATGCATTACCATGTCAAAGGAATGCACCAGGCAGAGAGTTAACTCTTTATTGTCAAATATAACACTGACAGTCACTTCTATGGCTCTGGAGACCTCCACACCCCAATCTAGTACCTAGGCAGCTATTCCCAGGTCTGTACTCTATGGAGCAGTTGCAGCAACCAGGAACAAGTCCCCCTCCACCAGTACCTTCCCCTAACAGGCTATGCACACTTAGACAGAGACTCTGCCTCTGTGGAAGCCCTTTCTTCCTGCTTCAATTCCCTCCTGATTCTGTGAGACGGTAGTGCAAGGAAAGGGTGGGAAAGCACCTGGCCCTTCACTTGCCTGGCCTGCCTCTTCCTCCAGCCCTGAAGCTCCCCCTGCCTCTTGTCTGCTGGCTGGTACAGGTGCCCACAGACCATTGCCCCCCTCTCCCGAGTCAGGCTTCAGCTCCTCTTCCCCCAGGGCAGACTCACCAGAGTCCTGTCAGTCCCTGACATACCACTTCCTCTGGCTCTAGCCTGCTTTTCACTGCTGGGGTCTGAAGCAGAATACAGTCATGCCGCATGTTACGCACATCAAACTTACGCAAATTCAACTATATGTGCTGGGCCGAAGCTCCACTCCAGCCTTTTCCTTCTGCCTTGCCAGGACCTGCCTGCATTCATTCATCTCTCTGCCCACCTCCCTCCTCTAATGAGGTAGGAGAGCTGAAAATAATGCCAATATATTTCACATCTGGCAACCAACTCTGGAACACTTCCAGAGTTAATGCTAAATACTTTACTTCTAGTACAAAATAAAATAAATAAAACCACATTATTATTATTATTTTAAAAGAACACTTGAGGCCCTGGTTATTTACCACAGTGCAACACTGCTCTAACACAAGCAGCCATACCCTGGCAAACCCCAGGAATACATGCATGGTCCCATCTCCCCTGGCACTTAGGTGTGGACTCTGATCTGAACAGTTGGCAACCACTGTCTTTATATTGCATTTATATATGTTTTATTGTTAAATCACTTTGGGATGTTGTATGGGAAGGCATTCATAGATGATGAAATAATAACAATTTCTAGAAACCCGTGGCTGCATCAATGGAGAGAGGCAGTTTGAATGAGACTAGGTGAGCTGTTTTGACAACTCTATAAATCCTAGAAGAATTTGATATACAGTGGTACCTCCGTTTGCACGTGGGATCTGTTCCAGAGCTCCAGTTGAATCCCGAGGAATTCACAACCGGAGGTGCCACTTTTGTGCATGCACAAGGCATGGTAGAGTGCTTCTGCGCATGCGGCGAAACCCGGAAAAATACTTCCGGGTTGGCCACGTTCACATCCTGAAGGATGCGCAACCAGAGGTGTGAGTATCCCAAGGGACCACTGTATAGGCAACTCCCCATTTGCATGCGATCGGCATGCGTGCGACTGCTGACACCTGCACTGTTTGGGGCACAGGGGAGTGGGGCCAGAACAGGGCAGGCTTAAGCATGTCCCACTGATGTACATGGTGCTTCAGAACACAACCTCCGTGTAAATGGGAAATTGCCTGTATTTCATTCATGGTTTTTTAAATTGTAAGTATTTTGAAATGGAATGAGAGACAGAGTGGGTATGGAAGTGTAAAGAATGTTTGTTGTGTTAATTAGTTCATTGAAACTGGCCTTGCACTTGCTTGTAATGGAACAAAATGGGAGTTGGGAGTTCAGGCTACATCTGACATTCTCCTGATGATTTCTGGCAGTCATTTTACTTCTAAATTCGGTGATGCAGACTTACTTGTCTGCATATGTGTGAGAGAGAGTACATGTATAATATATGGAACATATAGCTCATTTTATGTTTGCTTAAATTCAGCCAGGGCTGCTCATAATCTGCTCCTCCCTCCAGAATGTCCTAATTCTGCTCCCAATAAAGCCTGAATTCAACAACAACAACAAACAAATCTTTATTCTCAACACTGATAATAAATTACTCAAATTCATGAAAATGCACTTATTTTTATGAGCTTTCAATGTTTGATGATATCACTATAGTGGAAAAATAAACTGAAGATTTAAAAAAATCAAGAGGAAAAGCTCTTTTCATAAAAGCAGGTAGAGAAGCCAGCTTCTTCCTCCATGTTATATCCAGCTTACTAGTTAACTTTCATATCAGTTTGTCAAAACTATTCAGTTCCTGAGCCATTTATCAAAAATCAGTTTGCAGATTATTGCAGCAAGAGGAAATCTTATTTAATTTGCACTTATCCAATGTGGCTGGCATGTGTGCATTTGGATATTTATTTAATTTATGAATTGCTTCTTATAAAACATCCTCAAGCTTCATTAAACAGGGGAGACTTTAACAATGAAAACATGTATCAAAACAGTTTCAAGACTAATACAAATACGGGGGGAGGGGGAAATCCACCTTAAAAGGCTTGTTAGAAAAGGAAGGTTTTCAATAGGCACTAAAAATATAATAGAGAAGTACCTGTCTGTTATGTAACAGCAGGGAGTGCTAAAGGATTCAGAGCTGACCTCCTGATGGGATGGTATCTGCAGGAAGCCCTCATGTAGAATGCAATGTGCTCAGGTATACAAGAGGTGAGACAGTCTTTTAGGTATCCTAGTCACAAGCTGACTATAGCATCACACATCGGGACCAGCACCTTGATCTTAGTCTGCTAGCTAATTGACAGCCAATGCAATTATTTCAGCTGCAGCATAACATAAGAAGAGCACGGCTGGATCAGGCCAGCAACCAAACAGCCCAGCATCCTAGTCTCACAGTTGCCAACCAAGTGTCTCGGTGGGAAGCACAAAAAAACAGGACCTGAGCACAACAGCACTCCCCCACCTGCGGTTCCCAGCAATGGGTGTTATTTATTTATCAGTCATTAGACATAAGTCACTTTTTTTGTTTAATGAAATGTAAGTTCAAAGCCAGGGACGCGGGTGGCGCTGTGGGTTAAACCACTGAGCCTAGGACTTGGCGATCAGAAGGTCGGCGGTTCGAATCGCCACATCGGGGTGAGCTCCCGTTGCTCGGTCCCTGCTCCTGCCAACCTAGGAGTTCGAAAGCACCTCAAAGTGCAAGTAGATAAATAGGTACCACTCCGGCGGGAAGGTAAACGGTGTTTCCGTGCGCTGCTCTGGTTCGCCAGAAGCGGCTTAGTCATGCTGGCCACATGACCCAGAAGCTGTACGCCGGCTCCCTTGGCCAATAAAGCGAGATGAGCTCCGCAACCCCAGAGTTGGTCACGACTGGACCCTTTACCTTTAAGTTCAAAGCAAACTTACCATACAAAAATCAAAACAGATATAAAGCTAAAACAAAATGTAAATGCAAACTGCTTCTGACAGTAGAGGCTACAAATAGCCATCCTGGTTATTAATCCTCCATGAATTTGCACAATCCTCTTTTATAGCCACATGGGAGTAGCCAAGCGGGGGTAGCTGCCCCGCCCATAAATAAAAATATGTAACAAACTGAGGTTCTGCCCCCCTAACAAAAATCCTGTCCATCTGAGTAGGTGGCCATTTCTGTCTCTTGTGGAGGGAAACGCCACAGTTTAGCTATACCTTGTGTGAAGGCAAAGCATGATGGCATGATTTCAGGGTTACAGCCAACATTTCAAGGTGCACGAATTGCCTTTTATCATCCTATTTTACAACAATTTATATAACTCTAAAGTGTCACTTACTACGTTACCTATTACAAACCTCTCTTTAAAACTTCCGTGCGTGCGCCGAATTGCAAGAAGAAAGGATTTGAGATGGGGGATTGGGGCGGGGGAGAGAAAAACTCTTGGATTTAGTTTCCCAGGTTTAAGAACAAACTTCCAAGATGAAGGAAGATTGGTCACCGGTTTCTTCCTACTGATTTCGTGACGCAGCTGCCGCCTACTCCTACTACCGTACTTGGGCGCGGGGTGGGGGGGTGGGGATAACCAATAGGCATTTTGAGTGGTGGGAGATGGGAGAAATTATGAGCAGCTATGAACAGGGCCAGAGTGCTTAAACCAACTCGCCAAACTGCTGCCCAAAGGGGTAAATAAACTGCCCCCCCCAGACTTAATTGTATTCAACATGATCCCATAAAGCCATTAGCTCCTGGATTGCCTAGACAGGGGGGGAAAGCTATGAAATGTTGCCAAAACGCAGCGCACCCCACCGCTCTGCCATTGGTATAACCGTACGTATGTAGGTGTAACTGGCGGGGTGGGGGCGCGCGGAAGGCGACTGGCTTTCGGTTTGGCTCTGTAGCGCCGAGATCTACCCAAGGCGAGCCGAAGTTCAACCGGGGAATCTTCCCTTGCCAGGGCAGCGGGCTGGCTGGATTGGCAAGCGAGAGAGGCTAGCGAGCCCCTCTGCCTCCTCGTCAGCAGCGCCGCTCCCCGCCGGCCTTTTACGCGGCTGCGGGCATTGCCGGGTTATGCAATGGCTGGGAGAGTCCACCTCGCTCACCTACGGCTGGGGAGAAAGAGAAAACATAGTGGATCCTCGCGGGGGCCGAGAGGGAAAGGTCCGGCCCGGGTAGAGAGCGAAAACAAGCCTTCCTCCGTCTATTCGCACACATGCCCCGGAGGAGGCCCTCTCCTCTTTTCGCCAGCCGCTCCCCCCCCCCCCCGTTCCCCTGATCGCTGCCCTGGCTTGCAGGAGGACCCCAGCTGTTGTTCCTTCTGCAGAGCTCCTGCTGCCGCCGCCGCTTCCAGGCGCACTCGCAGTCTTGCTCCACTTTTGACTTGTTGACCAGTTTCAAGTTATTGAATAGCTCGCGTGCTTAGCATAGTTGTGGTTTTCTCTGCTCAGCAAGCAAGCAAGCAGGCTGGTGTGTGTGTGTGTGTGTGTGTGCGCGCGCGCGCGCGCCCAATTTAGGAACTGCTTTGCATGTGTGTGCGTGCGTGTGAGTTTACGCGTTTGTCAATGGAGCGAGCTCCCTTCCTCGCCACCAAGCTTGCAACTTTAACGTGTGCACGTGAAGCTGTCACGGGCCACGTGCGTGTAGACACGGCTGTCTCGATGCCGGTTTCCTTCTCTTTCTCCAGCTGTCTGGATCCCACCCCACCCGCTCTTCGCCCCGGAAACGAAAGTCACCTGGCTGGGTTGCTTTGCTTGCTTTTTGAAAGACGCTGTGCCGCTGCAAGGCGCCTGTTTGTGCGTCTTGTGTTTTCCTGCGGAAGGCAGTTCAGCTTCCAAGTTCGCCCCGCCCCGCATCTCCAGTGGGATGGAGTCAGGCTTCACACCCCCCCCCCGCTCCCCTGTGTCGCCTGGGGCAGCCGGACTCCATAGGAGACCGTGCGCGCCCCTCCATTCATTCCAGCATTCACAGGTGGATCTAGAGGCAGGTAGTCTCGTTTGCAGCCTCCGTGGCTGGTTTCAGAGCTGGCCCTGAGGAAGGAAGCCGGCGCAGGGCCGCTGGGCATACGCAGAGCGCAGCTCACCCCCCGGCCCCCGACGCACCGCCCTGAGATCGCCCGGCGGCGGCGAGGACGCCTGCTGCCCCCCTCGGACGAGAGGCCGGGTGGGCTCAGGGGAGGAGGCGGAGACGCTCGCTGTCGCCGCCGCCGCCGCCACCCTTTCTCCTGGCGCTCACCGGCCCGGCCTCTCCAGCAGCTTTGGCGTGAGCCCGGCTGCTCTGGCCCCGCCTCGCCCCCGCCACGAAAGGCGCATGGAAGCGATAGCTGCCTGGAGCTGGGCGGCTCCGCCTCCTGCCTGCTGGCCCCGCCAGGGGGGCCGCGTGTGCAGATCGGCCTGGTGTCGCGGGATGGAGCGCCGAGCCAGCGGCTGAAGGCGCCCGCCTCGCCCGGGGACAGAGGCGGGGCTTCCCAAGCGAGCCAAAGGGCAAGGAGCTCGGGGAGGCTCTCCTCCTCCTTTCGCTCGCTCGCTCGCTCTGCCTGGCCGGGGCTGCTGCTGCTGTTCTCCTCGCAGCGCCTGCCGCCTCTCCTCCCCCTCCCCGCCTCTCTGGTCCCTCCCCGCCTCTCCTCCTCCTCCTCCTCCTCCTCCTCCATTGTATAATGCTTCGTGACCGCCGCAGCCCGAGCAAAGCGGAGGCTTAAATCCTTCCCGAGCTGCATTCGCTCCCCGCCCCCACTCCTCTCCTCCTCCTGCCCCCCGCCAGCCCCCCACCCGCGGGCGAGGAGAGCGACATATGGAGCTGGGGGAAGATTAGGAGGAGCGCGCAGGAGCAGCCCCTGATGCTTCTCAGCTCTCAGGAGGAACTGCATGTGGTAAGTGCAACTCGCGGCTCGCAAGGAAAGATTGGAACCAGAGAGGAGGAGGGGGGGGTCTCTTGCCGCTTTGCCCAGCCTGGGGATCCACTGGATCGGGGAGATGCTGAGAACTCTGCCAGCAAACTGTGTTGTCTCGGGGAGAGGGCGAGGTGGCGATGGAAGAAGGCAAACCCGGAGGCTGCCGCTTCAGAAGCAGCCCCTCCCCAGTTGGTTGGTGAGGCAGTGAAGGCAGAAGGGGACCCGTGTCGCGGGGAGAGGGGCAGGAAGGGGCCGAGGAAGCGCTGCCTTTCGGTTGCATGATTTGCTCCCCCTTGTAACCTTCCGGAGAACTACCTTTCTTCCCCCCCCCCCCCGCCCGCCTTGCGAGAGAAGTGCAGGGAAAAGAGGTCGGCTGAGTTACTTTTCTTCCTTGGAAACGGTTGAGGGTCCAAATGTGCAGACGGATCGGAGGTTCCCGTGTTGCTTTGAGCAGGTGTGTGTGTGTGTGCGTGTGTGCGCGCGTATTCCGAATTTCTCATGTTCTCTCCCTCCTCTGTGTATGAGTGGCGCATTTAAGAGTTTCTCCGAGCCATGTTTACAGTGCAACTTGCTTTTGCTCTCCGATAAGTTTCAGTATGTGCTGCAGACCAACATTCGCTGGAAACTGTACCCTGTAATTTTGTTTTCTGATCCTGGAGGAGAGGAAGAAGTAGCGTGGGCGTTTCAGAACCTCGAGCTGGGAAAGTTGAGGGTCTTGTTTCGAAACAAACTGGCAGACCCCAAGTGAGGGTGATTCTGTGTTGGTGAGGACACTTTGAACTGGGAAAAAGAGGCTCAAGGCAGAAGGTTTTTGTAGGTGGAACTAAAATTCTTTAAAGTGAGACAGGTTGTAAGCCTACAGGTTCTGGTAGGTTACTAAAAGAGCTAGATTATGGTATTCCATGCTTTGGCGTCTCAGCATGACATTGTGGTGGTGATGTCTGTATGTGGGTGTCTTTTCATGGAGATATTCTGCATATTAAAAGTAGTGCTAGCTGCCAAAGCTGGTCTTTAACATGGAAACTAGTAAGCATTATTGTTCCTAAGATTTGTTTTGCACTTTCTAGTAGATTCTAGCTTCTCCAGTCATTGACAGCACATAAATACTGAATGCATGTTAGTACCTCGGTTGGTTTCCTACCCTTCTCATGGAATATACACTTGTTTTTCTTGATACAAGATGTTTTGTGGCAGGGACTTCTCTTGCAAATTAGCAGCGCAAAATGAAATGGATAGCTCAGGTGGCTGCAGGTTCACCTAGCAAGGGCCCTCCCTGGAAGTTCTTTATTTTCCCATCTAGCATTCAAGATTCTGAATCAAGATAAAGCAATTCAGTTGCTCTCCAAAAATCAAACCGAATGCTGTCAATTTTATCACTAAAGGTGCTCTCCTAGGCTTCTGTGAAGTTCTCGTAAATGCTTTGAGTGAAGACCCAGTTCCAGAGCCAGGTCATGTATGTCTTAATTTCTTCTGCTTTCCTTTGGTTGAGATGACAGGGAACTGATTTTCAAAGTTCATCTGCAGAAACATGTACCTTTGTATCAAGGTGCTATTGAAAGAAGAGAATAAAAGTGGGTGGGGGGGGCAGCACTTCTCCCAAACTCTAGACTGTTGTAGCTGTCAGATATGAGAATTGTGCAGGCTTCTCTTCTTGGATTGTCAAGCCTTTCATATGGTCAAGTTTGTTGTAGAGTTAATTTTGAAAAATGTTTTTCTGTAAATAAATAAAAAGTGCTGCGCTGTATATGCAGATTGATATATCAGAAACTAGTGACTTGAATAATAATAGTGCTAGACAGGTACATGAGTCTGGACAGTGGTAGCGTTCCCTAGGATACAAACAAGTATTGTAGCATCTTAACAGCTGCAAGTGTTTCTTTTTCTTTTTTGTGCCTGATACTACTTCATTTAGCTCTATAATGAAAAATCGCAGATTGGCTTCAGGAGGAGCAATTAAAAAATGCAGTCTTGTTAAAATTTGTATGATGCGCATTAAAAATCCAAATATGATTTATTTAGTATGTCCACTGCTGAGTCTCTTGCTTTTGAAGTTGCCCTAAATAAATGGGGAAACTTGTTCAAATACATTGGCATTTAGATGTGACTTTTTAAGGCAAACCTGAGATGAAGGCTAACTTAATGTGAAGTCTGGTGAATACTTAAGAGCAAACTCCACTGAAAGCAGTAGAACTTACCTCTGAGTATACATGCATAAGTTTGGGCTGCACAAGAAAACACACTTTGTTTCCTTTTATTCCTTTTTGCTCACCCCATATTTCTCAAATTATGGAGCTGTAGCAAGCAGTGATGAAAACTGCATAATATGTACCACCCATAAAATAGGGTTGTCGTATTTTGAAGAGCAAAAAAGAGGACACATTTGTGGGTGGGCTGGGGTGTGGAGGGGGGAGGAAGAAAAATACTGTAGTAGTAGTAGTATTAGTGTGTGTGCAGTAAAAAATAAAAGGTGTGTTGAAATATTTAATAATGGTAATTGCAAATGAAAATGACATGCCCTCCAACATTTTGTGAGAAAAATTCGGGGCACCCCCCCCACCAGCCTGCATCCCCGTCACTCACCCCCTACCTGCCACTGATCCCTTCCATGCCCACCTGCTTCCCTCCCCTCTCTTACCTTTGCTGTCTTTGGCCTCCGATGTGAGGCTGAGCGGCCCTGGGAAGGCCAGGACAGGCCTGGCAGCCGCCAGAGATGCCATGAGTCCTAGAGTGTCTCTATAAAGGTTGCCCAGTCTGCGCCATGTAGCTCACTCCGCTGGCTACCAGTGCCACAAACAAATGGTACAAACATAAAATAAAACCCGGACATTTTGCAAAATTTTAAAAATCCGCCCAGGTGGTGCTTTTGTCTCTGGAAAAAAGGACATGTCCAGGAAAATCTGGACATATGGCAACCCCACCAAAAACCAGATTTACTGAAGTCATTGTTTTGTAGGATCCTGGCTGAATTTGGTGTACATACTCAAAGCAGTCTTCTCCAAACTCTGGACTAAAAAGTTTGAAGTTTCACCTCCAACCTGTCTTATGCAATAGCCAGTTGAACCACTTTGCTGATGACTACTGTGCTTTCTTCACCCTTGGTATGAATCATTGGTGGGGAAAACACTACAGAGTTTCATTTTATACCTTGCATATTTTGGAAGTAGCTGGACTGTTGGTGCTGATATGTGATCAGCAATATCTACTAGTGAAGAATTTTTGCATTGACGTTATGTATATTCATATGCTGTATATCGGAAGGGAGATTATATTGTTATTTAAAATGTGGGCAATTTTCCTACGACCCACTTATAAGGGCTCTTCAGTGCCTTCTTTGGAAATACAGTTTCTGTCTAAAAAGATAGCACAAATGGAGACGGCTCCAGTTGCAACAGCTTCTTGGCCAAAAGGGGGGGGGGGGGAGAGAGAGAGAGGAAAAGTAACTGTGCCAGAAACAGCAGGCTCTGATTACAGAGTCCAAAGATCATTTAATGCACTAAAGGGGAAAAGAGAAAGAGTGCAAGGTTCAGTTTAAATGGCAGTAGGTTTAGGGCACAGGCACAGCTGATTCTCCTACTTGTAAAATCAGCATTTTCCCCTTTCTTTTTTCTTTTTGCTAATTGTTAAGCTAATCATCCAGGAAACAAAAATTCATTGATGTGCAGAATGAAGGTAGGTAAAGCCACTCCACATAGTGTGAGGTTCTGCCATCCCTTTATGTGGACAGTGTGCTCACCCATGACCTCTCCCTGGTCTGCAGTGCAGGTAGCAGGAAACCAGCACATGCTGCGCATGGACACATGTAGCTTTGTGCAGATCTGGTGTGCTATGTAAACAACTGACCCACCAAATCAATTCCATGCAAACTCCCATGCCCTCAATGGCATTCAACAGTAAAGTGTGGTTTTCATGGTACACTAGGAGATTTCAATTCCTGGCTGGGACAGTAAATTGCTTAAGTTGCTTCTGCTTGAAACTCTGTGTGTCTTCCCAGCAGCCTCTGGTTTCCAGTATGGCTGGAGAAAGGAGATATTAAGGGATTTGAAAGCAGGTTGACAGAGGTTGAAATGAGACCACCGACAAGGATCTCTCTTTCAAACTTACTTAAATGTTCAGATCATCTGGTGAATGCTCTCACGTGAGGGAGAGCAGATATTGGCTGGGTTGTCTCTTCAAATTCTGGTGCTACAGGAAATGGACCCCAGCTCCACATCAGTTGGGAGAAAGTCTAACAAACTTTTGCCCTACCCAAAGCTCTTGCAGGAACAAATAATCTGTCACCATCTCAACCTTCACCAACCTGTTGCTCTCCAAGTCTTTTGTAGTGAGGTGGAGTAAAGTACCTTACAGGGTGCATTTCTTGTTTGTGTCATGCTGGTGTGGATTTGGAATACCCTTTGTTAAAGGTTAGGGGGCCAGTGTCTTCCTCCTTTCAGAAAGCCCACAGTTGGGTCATGTGACTGAATATCAGCATGGCTGTTTGGTGAGCTCAGCTATTATTGCTGACCATGTGATAAAGTAGTCATCAGCTTCCACAGCCAGATCCATTTTCAGTACATAATGAGGTAAGATTTTCTTTTTGTTGCACATCTTCCCATAGCTTAAAAAGTTGATGAGATCACTGTGTGCAGGAGCAACTGAGTACAGTGGTACCTCTGGTTACGTACTTAATTCATTCCGGAGGTCCATTCTTAACCTGAAACTGTTCTTAACCTGAAGCACTACTTTAGCTAATGGGACCTCCTGCTGCCGCTGCGCCGCCAGAGCACGATTTCTGTTCTCATCCTGAAGCAAAGTTCTTAACCCGAGGTAATATTTCTGGGTTAGGGGAGTCTGTAACCTGAAGCGTATGTAACCTGAGGTACCACTGTACCCATTTCATTGTATAGGAACACATGACCACAGCTGACTTTTGGTCACACAATTCTTATTCTTTATTCTGTCACGTCCAGGGCACATGAGAAGTGTGCTGGGGAATATTCTGTTTTATTCTTTAGGAGTTCAAAGAGTCCCTAGATTTCAGAGAGTTAGCTTGTGGGCCCTTCAGAGAGGAGAAGCTAGGAACCTTTGTGCATCTGTGATGGTGTGGAAGTTACTTGCTGAGCATAGTAGTTAAGATAGCAAATAGATAATTGACCACTGTCTACACCTTTTCTAACACTTGAAATCTAGGCTGATAAACTTAGACAATCACTAGTGCAGATGATAATTGCTGCTCTCATGGTCCTAACATATTTTTGTGTGTGTGTCGTGATTATTAAACAAGGGCTCAGTTCCTTAATGCTGAGGCAGAGAAGGAGCCATGCCTGGAAATGTCAGGCAGTCCCACTCATTTATGGTACAATCCTTTGCAAATTATCCAGGAGTTATGACACACTGTTCAACAGGGGTTACACCCAGGGAAGTTTGCATTGGGTATCAGGCTTAGAGTGGTGCTGCAGAACATCAAAACACTGGAGGTTTGGGAAATGTATGAGTTCTGATTCCAAACGTTTTCCATTTTGAAGAATGCTTGGGCAGTTTGCAATGCTTTGAGATAACTAAAGTTTCTTGCATCGGGTAGTATTCATATGAAAAGAAGTGGACTAGATATAATTGCCCTAAACAAAATTAATAAAATATGTGTTAAAAACCCCCACACCAAATCTAAACCCACTGCTTTTAATTTTTGAAGATGTTGTTTTCCATTTAACTGGTGTATAACTACTTTCTCTGTAATTTAAGGTTTTAATTAATATGTGTGCACAATATTTTCTTTGAACTAATAGATCTGTTAGGTGTGACTTTTTATGTAGTGTGAGGTAACTGTGCTGAAAAGCTTCGAAAAGTTTTGTAAGGCAACATGATCATTTGTTCGTTACTTTCTTTAGTTGGACTTCTGCATCAGTTACTGGTGGTGATGGTGGCAGCTGTTACACTGAATTTAAAGTGTTTTCTTTTGCCTTTATAAAATGAGCAGCAATAGAGAAACACCCATGATAGCAGGGAAATGTGTGTGGATGTGTTGGGGGGGGGGGCATTGGAAGGAAGGCCTGTTTGAAGCGGAGTGTACAGCCTGTCAGTCAGCAGGTCTGACTAGTTTCTGAATGCCTCAGGGCGGGTTCGTCTTAATAAAGTGCAGGTAGCTGTGAAATGAAGTTCTTAAATCTAGATTTGTCAGTATGGTGCCCCCTTAACATCTCTTCATAAAAGAGTTAGGGTTTTTTGCAGCTAAAGAGAACTTTCTCAAATTCAGATAAAGCAGACAAAAAAATATAGAACTTTTCATAGTGCAATTTTCTTTTTACTGAACTTTATATACCCGGACACTGAGGTCCAGCTCCGAGGGCCTTCTGGTGGTTCCCTCTCTGCAAGAAGCCAAGTTACAGGGAACCAGGCAGAGGGCCTTCTCGGTAGTGGCACCCACCCTGTGGAACACCCTCCCACCAGATGTCAAAGAGGAAAACAACTACCAGACTTTTAGAAGACATCTAAAGGCAGCCCTGTTTAGGGAAGCTTTTAATGTTTAAGAGACTATTGTATTTTAATAATTTGTTGGAAGCCGCCCAGAGTGGCTGGCCAGATGGGCGGGGTAATAATGATGATGATGATAATTATTATTATTAATAATAATAATAATAATTGATTGGTTCCTTAGAATGGTGGGGACATTCTTAACTTCTGCCCAGAGGAGCACGGACAGTCTGAATATTTTATACCAGGAGTAGGCAACCTAAGGCCCGTGGGCCGGATACGGCCCAATTGCCTTCCCAATCCGGTCCGCGGACAGTCTGGGAATCAGCGTGTTTTTACATGAGTAGAATGTGTGCTTTTATTTAAAATGCATCTCTGGGTTATTTGTGGGGCATAGGAATTCTTTCATTTTTTTTCTTTTTCCAAAATATAGTCCAGCCCCCCACAAGGTCTGAGGGACAGTGGACCTGCCCACAGCTGAAAAAGATTGCTGACCCCTGTTTTATACCAAAGCATGTAGCCTGGCTGTGTTGGTTATATAGGCCTTGCAGGACACTGACAGACACATGAAGCAGGGATGAGCCATTCATACTCTCTTTGTCTCAACAGCCTGCAATATTATTTGCAGGGTGCTGCTGCTTTTAACCTCTTTTGCCTTCTGTCACAGAGAAGTGACTTGCTGCTTTGTATAGTGGTCAGAAAGTTTCTTTAGTTCATCCCTCTCCCCCCAAGGGCCATAATTCTTCTTCCTCTGTGAATCAGAAATCAGGCCTGCGTCCCACTTTCCTCTCCATCTGCTTGGGGAGCAGATAATTTCTGATTGATTTTCTTCTCTTACTGTATTTGTTGCATATAACCCTTCAGCCAGAGCGTATTCTTTGGTTTTGTTTTTTAAACGTAAGTAGCTGGCTCTTGTTCCCAAGTGTTAATGTAATATGATATACATGATGCACACTGCAGTAGTGTGTTCTAGTTTTCCTCCTCCTCCTAACTATGCAGTAAAACTAAGAGTTGATTCATATGGTTGGTAAAAAGAGGAAAGGGGCGGGAGAGGGGGATGAGTCACTCATGCTGCTTCCCTCTTTTAACAGAGAATTTGCTAGAGAATTTGCATATGTCTTTACAACTTTTTCTTTCCCCGATGGCCATTTTTCCAACTTTTGTTCTCACAACAGCCACCCTCCTAAACCGTACCATGATATCTTCATAACTACACAGGGTTCCACAGATAACCCACCAGGGAGAAAATGACTTCTGTCAAGCACATACTTAACTATGAAATCCAGTATTTAAAATTTAACATAGGCACTTGCGTACTTTATGCATGTGTGTGTATTCCAAAGTGGTGCACTAAAGTAATAAAACACGACATAAAAATATGTATATTCAGTTAGTTACACAGCAGAGTGATTGGATTAAACATTAGCATCCTTTGGTCATTTTTGCTGAAATGTTCTTAAGTGTGCAGAGACTGAGAAAGGGGGACTGTCCCTGGGGGCTCTGCTCCTGCCATCATGCCCCCTTCCAGCCTGCTGTGCTCTCCACACTTGGGGGCATTTTTGCAATGGAGAGTCCCTGCTGAAGCCACACAAGTTCTTGCTGTGAGCTGGAACCATGACAGAGCTTCCACACCTTCAGTAGGTGTCTCGGTTGCCCACATAGTCCCTGACAGCATTGACATGTGGGGCCTGCAGGGGATGTGACAGCATGGAGAGGGGAAGCCCATTCTTTGTGAGAGGGTAACCAGTTTCTGCATATGAGGAACTGAGGCTCACAAGGGCACAGCTTGTTGCCCACAGATCTTCCAAGGCTGCCTTAGAGCCATGTGCCTAGTTGTTTTTTAAGGAAAGTTCAGGTCATCACTCTTACCTGGCTGTGAAAGGTAGGAGCCTACAACCAGAGTGTTGGCTTGTTAACTGAAAACAACACGTGGAATTTGGTCCTGTCATTTACACACATGTTGGTTGCTTTAGCTTTCATTACCCAAGTCTTCAAAGCTACCTTGCCCCTCAATTTTCTGGTCATAATTGCTGCGGCTGCTTTGCTCCTCTGCCTCTCCACTTTCCCACTTTCCTTTTCTCAGGTTCCAGCTTGCCAGTCCGCTGCTTGTGTGCTCTGTCCCTGAGAGTATTTCCTCCCTGCTGGGCCTCCTCTCTCTTGGATCCCCAGTGACTTTTTAGCCAAGGGAATTTTTGGTTATGTTGGGAGCAAGGGAGCCACGTATGACACTGGAGAAGAGGTGGAAGCATTGCGGAGTGTTCATAGATAGTCTTCTGTGAGTGAAGTGAGCGCTCACTTAGACTAGAACTAAAATGTCGTACTGGTTGTAGAGGCAGGAGATGTTGGCTGCCTAAATAGGTTTACTAAGAGGAGACCCTGGAGTGGGACAGCTGAAGGAACGGGAGCTGGGAGGAAGGTTGCAGAGTTAGCACTGGACTCAGAAATGGAAACCAGATCAAAGCATACCCCCGAGCAGGCAAGGGCTTGAGGAAACAATAGGCTGAGCAGATAAGGAATGGAGGAAAGGAGGGGCCAGTGAGGAGTATGTAGAGAAGGCTTCTACATGAGGTGCACATTGCTGGCAGGAAGAGGGGTGGAGAGATAAATAAGAGGACTGAGCAGCGAAGGATGCTGGCTGGGTGCCAGTAGACTTGAAGGAAGCAGAACCAATTAGCAGTAGGAAGAGAGAGAATCAGGAGATCTGAGGAAACAACTTCCACAGGGGAAGCCATAGTACTCTGTTGTGGCAAAAACAACAAAAAGTCTTGTGGCACCTTAAGGAACAAGAGATTTTGGCATGAACGGATTTGCTTGGCAAAGGTGTGGCACTGAAGGAAAAGCCAAGCAGTAGAGTACAAAAATGCATGTGAAGGCTTGGGCCTTGGAAGGCCACTAGGGTTTCATGCATTACATTTCAGCATTTGGAGGCGTTGGAAGACCTGCCATGCACAAAAAGTGGGCAACCCTATAAGCAGCTTAAGAACAACAAGGGTCTGTGAGCTATGGGCTGGCAAGTGCAATTGCGACTCCCCCTTTCATTAGCAGGAGCCTGGTACAAAGAAATTAAGCAAGCAGCCCTTCACTTACTGTGCCATCTTCCTGTTAGGAAAAACTTGGCCTGCTTAATTTCTTTGCGCCAGGCTGCTGTTAACAGAGCAGGGCCAGAAAGAACACCAACAGGCAAAGCAGCTTTGGAAGCCAAGAGGACCAAAGCAGACCTGGGGTTGGCTGCTCCAGTAATGAGAGTGGCTTTAAGTGATGTGTATAACTGACAGTTCCACCAAATGCAACTTTGCCTGTTTTCTTCAACTGAATGAGGAGGTGGCAAATGTTTTTGAGCTAGTCAGTCAAAACATCTGTGGAGGGAGGCATAGACAAGGCCAACGCTGGCGTAGGCTTGACCTAGGGTATTCCAGCCCCAGACAGGTTCCCTCCATGGGGTGGGAGGGACTGGCTGCTTGGAGGAGGCAAAATTGGATGCTACTGGTTGGTGGCGGCACATCATAGTCTTGTTTTTCCCTACCTCTTCGTGGCTATGGGAGGTAACCTGTTCACAGGGGGTCACTGCTAACACAGGAAGGAACCACCCCAGCCCAGGCTACATCTGGATCTTCCACCCCACTTTTTTTAAGGGGCTGCTGTCCTCACAGGATGGCCTTAGCCCTTGGTTGTTTAAATGGCTGGGGCTGGTAGGAGAGCCCATGCTGATAGAAATATTATTGGGGAGAAGAGGCAATGAGGGAGGGTTTCCAAACACATGGTCACTTAAGTATTGTAGTTGTGGGGGCTTTGGGAAGACCAACCATCCCCACAGGCCATTTCCCCTCTGTGTAAGAGTCCGGCTGAGGGAAAATGGGATCAAATAATTGGAGGTCATTTGCAGGGGAGAGTCAGGGCAAAGGGTTAAGCAACCCACCCCTTGCACCTGCCAGTTCTCCCTTGTAAATGCCTCCAGTTCTCCTCCCTCTGGGGACTTGTTCAGTTTACAGTACAGTATGTAGTTCCTTGCTCTGGCAAGTGGTTAGTGGCTCTAACTTAAATCGTTCTGTCACAGTGATTTGTATGGCAAAATGAAGCAGAAAATGTTTTGCCAAACTGTGCACATGCTACACTGTACCTTTAAAGCACATTCAAAGCACATTCTTTCCCTCAAAGAATTCTGATCATTGTACAGTGGTACCGCAGGTTAAGAACTTAATTTGTTCTGGAGGTCCGTTCCTAACCTGAAACTGTTCTTAACCTGAAGCACCACTTTAGCTAATGGGGCCTCCTGCTGCCGCCGTGCCGCCGGACCATGATTCCTGTTCTCATCCTGAAGCAAAGTTCTTAACCTGAGTACTATTTCTGGGTTAGCGGAGTCTGTAACCTGAAGCGTATGTAACCTGAGGTACCACTGTAGTTTGTTTGGTGTTGTTGGGAATTGCAATTCTGGGGGAAATAAACTATGGGTCCCAGAATTCTTTGAGGGAAAGAATGTGTTTTGAAGGCTCTCTAAAGGTGTACACAGCTTCAGTCTCCCCCTTGACTTTGAGGGGTAAAGATGGGACAAATGAACATGTTTTACGAAGCACAAAATGGCAACTGTCTCCTGGCCCAACCTTATCACAATCCCCCATCCTAATGTAGGCCACTTGCCCTACAGCCCACTGTGGCTTAACATTCAGGTACCTGTACTTTCTAGAGTTCCATTGTTTGTCTGGTGTGGAATTGTAATAAATCAGCCTAAGTTCCCTATAGGAGTTTTCAAAATTCTTATGAGACAAAACTTGCAAGTGCAATATAGTTCAAACAGTGCAAGAGCCTGTAATACATTGAAAAATCCCACATTCATCCTCATTTGTCTAGCATTACTGTTATTATGTAAATGTGTATTCATCCATAGATCTCAGGGTGATTCACAGTTAGGTCTGGGCAATGTATCGATACATCGCCAAGGCCAGTATGAGGGCGAGACCACGATGGCTGCTTCCCCTGGCACTAATGTATATCCCTTTGCCACCAGAGGGACTCAGGAGCGGCTGCTGTTTCACCTGCGATATACAGCCAGGTGAAGCAGGCATTGCGTTCTGGCCCTCATACCACCAGGGGGCTTCTTTAAATTGTTCTGCTGTCTGCGCCTCAGTGGCACAGTTTATTGATGCCCCCACCCTGCCTATGATCATAGAATCATAGAATCATAGAGTTGGAAGAGACCACAAGGGCCATCGAGTCCAACCCCCTGCCAAGCAGGAAACACCATCAGAGCACTCCTGACATATGGTTGTCAAGCCTTTGCTTAAAGACCTCCAAAGAAGGAGACTCCACCACACTCCTGGGCAGCAAATTCCACTGTCGAACAGCTCTTACTGTCAGGAAGTTCTTCTCAGCTGAGAAGTGGGTGGTTTAAGAAAGCCTGCTTCTCAGCTGATCAAGCCACCCCCAGACTGGGGGGCGGGGCTCCGCTAAGGGGTGGTAGGCAGCCTTGCGCCCCTTCAGCGGGTGGCCTGCCTGTGACTCACCAGCCGGCTGGCGGACGACCTCTTTCTCCCTGGAGGAAGAAGTAGCCCGCCTGCCCGTGGCAATGGCGCCCGAGGCCACTGCACAAATGTAGTGCTTGTGTGGCAGCCTCAGCCGGTGCCGCCTTAGAACTGGTGGGTGTCGGGGGGGGGGGCTCAGCCCTCGCCCCCTTCACAGGGGCGGGCCACCTTTTCCACCCAGGAGAAAGAGGTAGCCTGCCCAAGCGAAGGTGGAGGCAGCCCTGCGAATGGAGCCTTTCAGGCTCTGCGTGCTTGGCTGCCATCTGGCTGCCCTTCACCCAGGAGGGTGGGCTGCGTCTTTCCTCCCAGGGTGGTTGGTCACCTCGGGAGTAAAGATGCAGAGCACCCGCTCGAGCAAACCTTTGAGGGAGGCCCGCCTCTGTACCTTGTTCCCACCAGGCCCTGGGGTGGAGGAACTCTTTCTGTCCCCCATCGCCCAGTGAGATGAACAAGCTGCATTGGCCCCTGAGGTGCCAGGGTTAAACCACCTGGGAGCGGCTGCAATTTCAGCCCAGCGCCTCATAGGTCTGGGGCCAATGCAGCTTGTTCCTCCCTCCATTTCAGCCTCACCGTGTATCATCAGATTGTGATGTTTGGCTGGTGATACATAGCGATGTTGAAAAGCTGACATCGCGCATCCCTATTCACAGTGTAAAATTGGTTTCATATTCCATGTATCTCATTATTATTATTATTATTATTATTATTATTATTATTATTATACCACCCATTTGACTGGGTTGCCGCAGCCACTCTAGGAGGCTTCCAACAAATAAAAACACCTTAAGACATCAAACAGGAAAAAGTTTCAGATGTCTTCTAAAAGTCAGATAGTTTATTTTCTTGACATCTGGCAGGAGGGTCTTCCACAGGGCGGCGCCGCCACCGAGAAGGTCAGCTGTCAGGTGTCCATCTCTCTCCCCTGCTCCTTCTCATTTAAAATAATAATAATAATAATAATAATAATAATAATAGGCATTTAACTTGCTAAGCCATTAGGGGTCTGATTTCTTCCCATTGAACAGAAAACAAAACTTCCAAACGCCTGAAATCCTAAGCTAACTGAGATCCATTCTCTCCCCAGAAACTTCTCAGAATAGAACAGGTAGAATAAATTGATGTTTGCTTGTGGTTGTGCCACACCAGAAGCAATCTGGTAGTTGCCTCCCTCATTCCTGCATGTACAAAGGAGAAAAGAAACCATTGCAAAACGACTGAATGGGTCAGTTGGGCCAGGAGTATTTTTCACTGCTAACTGTTTGCTTAGTTGTTCTCTACATTGGCTTTAATATTCTCATTGTGCAAACTTGCAACACTTATTTATTATTTGAAATACTCTCTGGGCCGGAGGAGTCCTATTAAGCTATTGTGGTACATTTGGCCCCTTCCATTTTGCCAAACATTAAAAGAGGACAAAAAAAATCCAGTCGGTGATCTCTCTCCTTAAGAGCTTGAACTACAAATTGGGACATTTCCTGGTCCGCTTCTTGGCCTCAGACATGAACTCATCTCAGTGGCCTTGGGGTCCACTCTTTCGCTCTCATCCCCCACCTGCAGTACGGGGAAAATAGTCTCTTACAAAGTGTTTGTGTGGATTGTGAGGAGTGAAGTGCTTTAAACGCTCTAAAAGCGCTACATAAATTATTATGAGTAGGTACACATTGAAGATTCACAAAGCTGTTTTTCTTTTGTTTGTTTATTTTTAATGCTACATTTGTCTAATAACGCTGCTGTGTGCAGACTGTGGCTGAAGGCAAGAAATGCCGAAAACTGCTTCTGAAGTGACAAGGACAAACTCCTGCAAAAAGGAACCCCATGGAAACGCTTTCGTTGTTGTAATCTGCGCAGTAGCAAGAGACTAGGCAAGAACGTTTGCCAGAACCATTCAGAATGCTTGCAGCTTATACAGGGTACCTAAAACTTACCTTTTTTGGTGTGACACTTATTTGGTGCTCTGATCCTTAATGCATTTTGCTTAAAAGTAAATCTTGTAAATCAGTCACTGCACCTTTTTTGGTGGTGAGAAGTAATTAGCTTGAGTTGCATCCTTGACCAAACTACTCCCCTCCCCAAGCTGTAATATACTGATTGAACAGAGCTTTCGTGCTGTCTAAAGTTAGTCCTCCACCTCCCACCCCCCTCCCGCTCGCGCACACTCCCCAGTGTATTTTATTAAGGGTCTACAATGTGAGGGGGAAAACAAGGTATCTTTAGGGAAAAGATTTTGCAGCACGGTTGAAAAATAAAGGCTCCAGCCAAGTAATTATAAATACCAGGAAAGGGGGAGGGGATCACCCATTGCAACGCAAAAGGATGTGGGGAGTGGGTTCTTGTCTCCCTGCTGTGCAATCAAAACTGTCATTAATCTTTATGTAGAGTGGATATCTGCAAGGGAGAATGGAGCCCAAAGATGCAGAGACTTCTAAATGCACAAACTACACCAGCCAGAGATACACATGTCAATAGTGACATTTTGTTCAACAAGCTGAAGATGGTTCCATTCAGCCAAATGGCTCACTGGTTAGTAATTGCTGAGGGGGGCTAAAGCATTTCCCAGCATCTTGTGTTTTTTTCAGGCATACCATTTTAAAAGAGGAAGAACATCTCTGATTGGTTAGAGTGCTTTGCTTTTGCCGCCTGCCTTGAAAGTTTTCCACGTTATTTTATGTGTAATCTGTGATCAAACTGCCTCTTCCAGCGAAGTTTATTCATAATTAAAAAGAGTGTTTTGTGATCTTTTCATATCTGCCCCTCCATTAAGCTTTCTTGATTTTAAATAAGCAATCCCCCCCCCCACCTGCCTGGTCAGAATGGTCCCTTACCCAGCTTTTGGGACAAAAAGTCATTTGTTAAAAACTTTTACCTACTGAGTCTTTAAAGAGGAGTTGCTTAGTTTGGATTATCTATCACTGAAACAGTCCAAATTCCAGAAATTACAATGATGGTCTGTAGCAACAGGAAAACAGAAAGTGTTGCTGCATCTTAGAAACTTCATCATGGCATGAAATTAGTCATAGTATATGTTTAGGTGCTGTGCCATTTATGTGTGCATCTATATGGTCAAAGGATATTTAGATACTGTTGCTTCGTTACCTGTATGCTAGTCCTTCACTCCAGTAGTAAAGCCATTGTGCCATGAAATGTACAGCATAGAGTCTTGCATAAACACATGTAGTATAATCTGATTTGTGATTGGCAGCTTCCATTGAACTGCCAAATGGAGACCTGTGTGTGTGTGTGTGTGTGTGTGTGTGTGAGAGAGAGAGAGAGAGAGAGAGAGAGAGATGTTTCTCCACTACTCTAGTCACTACTCTCAACATTTTGTTAGAAAAACAGCTTTGCAGATTATCTGTGGGCAGCCTAGTTTGTGGGTGTACACACACACACACACACACACACACACACACACACACATTTAGTGACACAGTAAACAAAACTTTAGTTGAAGTTATCTAGCCTTAAGATTGCATATGCCCAACTGTTTTTTTTCCTAATCCTGTGGTGGCAGTGCGCAGTGGTTCAGTCTTGATAGTCAGCCGTCAGATGCTGAACATATGAAGAACAACACTAAGTAAACAAAGTTCAACTTTGCATTTTTCTATCATAGCATTTCTGTTAGTTTTGTGTTCCGACTGCCATTTCAGGACTTTGGTTATGCTTCTTCAAGGTAGAACATACACCAATAGTGGTTCTATGAGAGGTTCAGTTGATATGAAATCAATACTCTGCCCCAGTTCATCCCCTCCCCCCATGAAAAATAATTGCTTTATGTGCCAGTATTCTACTTTTACAAGTTTGCCCTGATTTCAGTGGGGAAACATTCTATGCATTAGCTGTTTAGTATTTTCAGATTGACTTGCTCTTGATTTCAGCCATAGTATTCAAAGTCCCATCCTGCAGGACAGGATAGTTTCTAATAGCTTCTAATAGTTTCTAATAGTGTAGTTTCTAATAGCTTAGCAACCTAAAAAGAGGTGGCTCTGATTACACTTTGTGCAAGAGGACTTGGTACTACTCCTTAATATTATAAACATTCTCAGGAACAATTGAGTCTTTTAGTGTACAAGACCTGGTCCTCTTTCAGAGGATTAGTAAATGAGGCAGTAATTTATTCGAAAGGATATATTTAGTAGAGGGCTCCTTAGCTTTATTTGACATAGCCCTGTCAGGCAAGCGCAATTTGTCAAAACCATTAAACAAGCTCCTCTTCTTCGGGAGGAGAGGTTTCCCTTAGCAAACTGACAACGGTAGGAACTGTTTCTAATTTAATAGAAACATATGCTTCCTGCAAAAACCTTAGCGAGCCACATGAACTGCAGGCCTGCTTGAATTGTTTATTTTCGTGTGTGTGTGTGTTACTACAGTAAAATCTTGTTTGGGAGCAAAGGGATTGCTTTCTGCTGAAGTTTCAGTAGTCTGTGATCTTAAAGTCTGGAGAAAGTAGTAATAATGGCAGTGTTGGTGCACATTCCCCCGCCCCATGCGCACGCACCCACACCCCCCCGTGTCTTGCAGCCTCTGATCATTAATAAACAGCAAGCACTCGCTTTGCCCTCTGGGCCTCAAATAGTACAGTATGCAACAAGGGAGTGCAAGCAAGGCTGGAGGATGGAAACAGTAGTATCGGGTTACAGTTTCAAAATATCGCAGGAGCGTGTTAGCTGCCTTATGTTATTGACTTGCCATGTAATTGCATTGCTTATTTGTGTGAAGAAAGACTTCCCCTTTTCCACCCAATTACAATAGACGTTACTACTTTGGAGCTCTCCCGAGTCGCCCCCCCCCCCCCGAAATTACTCTCAAGTGCAAGCATTTTGCAATAACTTTATTTATTTATAGGTTACTCAGCCTATATCGTGCAGGATAAAGTTGAACTGAATCAAACTTTTCCCTTCTTAAAATAAGGTTTCTTACTACAGATATAGATCTATATTTATATACCTGTCTTCAGGTAGCTTTGTATATGTCGATAGCCTCATTTGAAATCAGGATGCAAATCCTGTGATGTGTGAAGAATACAAGGCAGAAGCAGCTACTCTGAAATACTTTTCCATGGTTACGGAGGAAGGAGAAGATCTAGAGCAGGGGTAGGCAAACTAAGGCCCAGGGGCCAGATCTGGCCCAGTTGCCTTCTCAATCCGGCCCATGGACGGTCCGGGAATCATCGTGTTTTTACATGAGTAGAACGTGTCCTTTTATTTAAAATGCATCTGTGGGTTGTTTGTGGGGCATAGGAATTTGTTCATTTTTTAATATATATATATAGAGAGAGAGAGACTGGCCCCCCACAAGGTCTGAGGGACAGAGGACCAGCCCCCTGCTGAAAAAGTTTGCTGACCTGTGATCTAGTGTTCACCCTCGTAGTTTCTGCAGGGTGGCCCATAACACATGTCAGATTGATATTGAGACCCTTGTGGAGTATTCTAAGATGAACTATCGTTAATTTATTTGCTGTCCGTCAATTTTCCATCTCTTTAATTTGATGTGCAGTATCTCATAAATAAGTGTTTTTTGGCACATAAATTAAAAAGTACCTAGCTTTTCCCCACCAAGAAGCTTTGAGGGATTTTTGTTGCAATTTTGCATCTGTAAGTAATGGTGGGTGGGTGGGTGTTCTCCAGATCCAGTAAGTCACACACTTACAGGCCAGTCATCAAAAGGTCTTCAGAGAGCAACATACACAAATTGGATTTCTGCCAGCATAGAGGATGGGGGATTAGAAACTTACCCTGTGTGTTTGCGTGCATTATGGCTTTAGATTGATTAATTTCTGCCTGACTCCACCTATCCATCCACACCTGAGTAAATTTGGAGAACTGGTTCGTGTTAAAAATTTAAACACAGCAGATCTCTCCAATGTGTGGTTTTTGGCAGCCCTGAAATCTTTACAGTGACAGCCGATGAACACTACTAAACAAGCCTTTGTTCTCTGGCTCCATAGTTATTTCCCAGAACTGAAAAGGAGCCAATTTTGATGCAATTCTAAAAAATATATTCTTAATAAATAATAGTTTCCTTGCAGAGGAAAGGGAAAGCATAGCTAATATAGACTTCATTTATGGAAATGGGGAGAGGAGCCTTGAAAGGTGGAAAAACCATAATTAATATTATGTCACTGTGCAGGAGGGGAAGAAACTGACCTTCATTTTGGCATCTGCTTCTGTCCGACTTGCACATGTGATATTACAGAGGGTCACAAGCATCTCTTCGAGTATCAGAATTGGCGTTTCAAGGTGTATGTGCATGTCTGTATGTAGCCCACACTTTGTGCAATATACTTACTACAGGGGGAAATACTGGTGTAACACCACTGTACATGTAGTAGACAAAAATGTTCTCAGCAGGTCATATTCCAGGGCTGCTTTTTCATGTTCAGCTATCTGAGGATAACAATCATAACAACCGGAGCCTTTAAGCCTCTGATTCTTTACATTTGCAAAAGGTTAATTCTTCAAATTTGCAAAAGCTCCACACTTTGTGACCCGGTTTGCAAGTCACATTAAGCCATACCTAAAATAAACTGGTTTAATGTGAACAAGCTGTGCTGCTGAAGTTGTAGGTTCTTTGCTCATCTCCTTCCCTTCTTCAAGCTGCCAGGAAACAAGCTGTGGTCGGGCTTGTCAAGTTGTCCGAACTTGTGGTTTATTTCTCTCCAAACAAACCACGAGTGGAAGCCAAGGTTTGTTGCCCACAGTTTGCAGATTTATTGTGAGGATCACAAGTGTGTACACGTTGAATGGGTTTGCTACATAAAAGCCTGGAGAGAGCCTTCAAGAAGGTAAATCCCAGGACAATAATGGGTTTGTGACTTTCATCTCAGGAATAGTGAGCGCATTCCATGGGACAGTCAGAAAAAGAGCATATAGTTTTTCAAACTGCAGTTAACCTAAAGCCCTACTTTGCATCTTTGTCGGTGGAGGAGCATAATCATGTTCCAGGGGAAACAAAATACAGTGGTACCTCGGGTTACATAAGCTTCAGGTTACATACGTTTCAGGTTAAGAACGGACCTCCAGAACAAATTAAGTACTTAACCCGAGGTACCACTGTAAAAATTATTTCATGTTCCATAAAATGCTTCCAGAGACTTTTTAGCACTCATATTTGGCTATGGGCCAGATATTTTGATACCACAAGTTCAAAAGGAGCATATAGTTAAACAAATGTTCATTTTCGGGATGAAGAATTGTCACACTTTTTAAGGGCTAACAGAATATTCTCATTTGTAGTCTCTGCAAATGATGTGGCAAAAAAATAAAAGATACCCAAGACTCAGGGAAAGACTAAAGGAGCAAAAATAGCCTAGACCAAGAACAACTTGTTCAGAAAAAGCGCTACAAAGCCACCTCTAGTACATTGCAGTGATAAGGTGTGCTGTATAACAGTGCTCCCATCTCCTCTAGATGGTTCAGAAGGATGTTATGGTTGACGGAGTCACAGGCCGCTGATCAGCAGGGCTCCCCCCACCCCAAATCTGGTTCAAAGCACACGTGAATGCAAAATAGAAATGAAATAATCCATTTGGGAAGGAATCTGAATCAGTTCTAATCTGTTACCTCCGAGGATGTGGACAGGCTACTTGGACGAGTGAAACCAACCACCTGTCTCCTTGATCCTTGCCCATCCTGGCTAATAAAAGTAAGCCGGGAAGGGCTGGGTGATGGGCTCTGTGGGGTCGTGAATGCTTCTCTCTGTGAGGGAGTGTTCCCAGACCCACTGAAAGAGGCAGTCATTAAACCGCTTCTTTAAAAAAACATCTTTAGACCCGGCCAGTATAGCCAGCTATCGCCCAGTCTCAAATCTTCCATTCTTGGGCAAGGTGATAGAGCAAGTGGTTGTTGAACAACTCCAAGCATGCCTGGAGGATGTGGACCATTTGGATTCCTTCCAGTCGGGATTCAGGCCTCATCATGGGACTGAAACTGCCTTGGTCGCGCTGGTTGATGACATCTGGTGGGTGAGGGACAAAGGTGAAAGCTGGTCCCTAGTTCTGCTGGATCTCTCAGCGGCCTTTGACTCCATCAACCATAACATCCTTCTGAACCGTCTAGAGGAGATGGGAGATGGGGGCACTGTTATACAGTGATTCCACTCCTTCCTCCTGGGCCGTGTCCAGAAAGTGGTGGGGGATGAGTGTTCAGACCCCTGGGCCCTCACTTGTGGGGTGCCTCAGGGTTCCGTCCTCTCCCCCATGCTTTTTAACATCTACATGAAGCCGCTGGGAGAGATCATCGGGGGGTTTGGGCTGGGTGTTCATCAGTATGCGGTGGGCGGTGAAGGTCCTGTGTGTGTGTCTGGAGGCGGTTGGAGGATGGATGGCGGCTAACAGATTGAGGCTGAATCCTGACAAGACAGAAGTACTGTTTTGGGGGGACAGGTGGGTAGGTGTGGGGGACTCCCTGGTCCTGAGGCAACTGTACCACTGAAGGAGCAGGTTCACAGCCTGGGAGTCATTTTGGACTCACAGCTGTCCATGGAGGCGCAGGTCAGTTCCGTGTCCAGGGAAGCTTTCTACCAGCTCCATCTGGTACACAGGCTGAGACCCTAACTGCCCACAGACTGTCTGGCCAGAGTGGTGCATGCTCTAGTTATCTCTCGCTTGGACTACTGCAACACTCTCTGCATGGGGCTACCTTTGACGGTGACCCGGAAACCACAATTAATCCAAAATGTGGCAGCTAGACTGGTGACACTGAGGGACGCTGGACTGGCCCCCTGCTGAAAAAGTTTGCTGACCCCTGTGCTACATCCAATACTAGTAGGACATGGTTGTGCCAAGATTTATATATAGCCTTTTTTGGTACTAGTGACTCCAGTATCTGAGAGAGCTTGTGGTGGGGTGTTTTGGTGGTGGTGCAGTTGGCATATATTGTGAGCTTAAAGAAACTTTGGTATCTGTGTTTTGTGGGGGTGGGGAGGGCAAGGTTTATTTAAACTGTCTCTGGCTGAACAGAGCATGCTGTATTTTCTCAGCCAAATTAAATAAATAAATAAACGCTTCTCTGCATATTGAGTCTCTTGAGTTGTTGGGCCTGTGGTTTCATAGACACCTGTTGGATCCACATTTGTGATATAATGCAGGTCAAATGAGATTTGTAAGCAGTCTCCTGATATCTCTTGTTTTATTGAAACACAGCTGTGAAATGTTGAATATTTGTTCAGAAGAGCAACAGAGGCTTGCTTCGCACACGTTAAACTATAGTTTAAAATCAGCGATGGTTTTAACGGGGGGAGGGGCTTTGCTCCTGTTTCTGACTGCGCCACATGTAGGAGGAAGCAAATAGGCTCAGGCGCAGAAGGTCTTTTCTCTCTCTCTCTCTCTCTCCCCTACAATCTGATTGTAGGAACGTTCATTTCTGCCTTGCCTCTTGTGCATCTTTGGCTTTCTTATTTAATTTTGATCTTCCTCCCCCTCGGAGTGCAAATACTTATACTTCAGTATGACAAAAGGAATCATAAAAACAAACTTGACGAGGCAAGCTTTTAACAAATGTAAATGGGCTCTCAAAAACAGCTTGTGATATATCGAGGGTATTATGTTGGAAAAGGTTCCCCCTGGGCTGGCCTAAGAACTTGGGAGTGACGGAAGTAGCCCAGCCAGCTCCAGCTATTGAAAAGGCATATTTTGGGTAAGTGCAACGCAGGCATGCCTTGGCTAACATCATGGAGAGGCTTTATACACAGGGGAGGATGAGTGTTGGATAAGAGATCTCCAGAGTTCAGAGTGGATTCAAGCTGACAGATCATTGCTCTTCCACTGTTACGGTATGTGAAGTTGGAAATGGCCACTACCTACATTTCAGCGGGTGCAGAACTGCTTAGGTGTGTTCATCGCCATCTATTATTCGCCCATAGCAGTGGCTTTGCATTGTAAGTGAGAAAGGTTCAATTTTGAGCGTGGTTTCTTTTAAATCAGTGAAGAATGAATTATAGGTGAAAGTAAACAGTCCTGTGTACAGGAAAGGCTTGGCTGAGTCACTTCAAAGCTTAGCGCAACCCCCACAGCAATCCTGAGAGAATCTGCTATAATTTGCTTGATTCTTTTAAGAAAAAAGAGAAGGCATTTTAACTTTTTGAGTAATAAACCTTTAAGTCCTGCTCTTAGAAATCAGCTCAGTCCTTTCTTTTAAACACTTAAGGCAAAGCAACTGTAGAAAGTAGAGTGTTCTTGGTAGTGCAGACAAAGTATTTGCTACCCATATTGTCACCTTCAATAACCAAAGTGGGGTTGCTTTGCTTTATAGAGCTGGTATTTTTTCTAATGGCACAGCATTGATCTGCACAGCCTGACAAGTTTTAATGATCCAACACTTTGTGATGTTGTCTCTTTATGTTATGATCAAGAAGAAGAAGAAGAAAAACCAAAAAGTGATTTAAAAGCAACAGCTTGCTTGTAATGCACCTTTCTCTCTGATGGGACTCTAGGCTGATTACATATAAAAATCAGATCCATTTAAAAGAATTGTTTTTTTAAAAAAGCATTTATGGATCTTCCTCTGTCTCCACCCCTTTTCTTCTAGCAAAACTGCACAGAACTATAAAAACTGCAGCACTCCAGATGCATGCTTGATGGCCGCCCTCTGCTCTCGGCATGCCCAGTGTCTCCCTGGGGAGAGAGAACATTCCATGCTGGTGGTCCTGGGGAGGTAGAGCCAAATCTCACTTTTGGGGACCAGTGCTAAATCACAGCATCCTCATGCACCTTCGATTCTTGGAAGGCAGCCAAGAAGCTTCAAGTTTTTTAAAAATTGCAGTTTTCCTAATAGTGTTACTCAGTGTGTTTTTCTAAACAAAAAAAATGTTTAGGGGTACTCTCATTTTGACTCAAGAAAATCACCATTTTATAGTTCAAATCGGGGCGGAAATAAATACAGTAAATGGACAAAAGTACAAAGATTCACAAAATGTTTAGGGGTATGCGTACCCCTGAGTCCCTGGTGTTACTATAGCATTCTTTTTTCTTTTCTCTCTCTCTCTCTCTCTCTCCACCCCCCCCCCCCGCTTTTCTCTGTGAAGAATTACTCCAGAGACACTGGACTTTTTGTGTTCTCTCTAAACTGAAAAGTTTGTAGCCTGGCTCTTAAAATATGTCTACTCTGAAGTAGACTACTCTGAATTCAGTGGGGCTAAACTTCCTGCTCAGTATACTTCAGATTGTAGACTTAGTTCTCTCTCAGCTTTTCTTCCTGTTCCTGATAAAAGAACTTGCCCCTCACTGAAGAGTATTTATTTGACAGCTTAAAAACTATTGGCATTCAGTGTGCTGTTGGCGACCGAAGAAATTGTTTGAAAAGGAGTGTCCTAATTGGAAAACTGTGAAGGTGGTGGTATCTTCCAGGGATATTGTTGCACTGTTTAAAAGGTGCTTTCGGATTGCTACGATTCTTGAGTGTAGCTCAGGCAATGGCTTGATTCAGTGAACTGCCCATACATTCTTAAGCCACAGCTTACATGGTCGAATGCAAGGCAAAACAGATACAAAGAATTTACAGCACACTTGTGACACAGAAAATAAACTGCTTCTAGCTGAAATGGATTCCAGTGTGGAGACAGAAGAGCACTGAGAAAGCAGGGTGGAGGTGCTTTAGCGTGATTGATTGGCAAATATAGAGCATGCAGGGATCAAGATCTCTCCTCCCCCCCCCATTCATTCAGGGACTCAAGAGGGAACTATCACAGACCAAGGGCATATTCTAGCCTGTTAAATGCACCTATGGGGTGTACAGAGGAGGCCTGGTGAGAATGTAGTGTAGCAAAAGTCCTAAAGGGCCACACAGAGAGTCCTTGAGGGCCACACCCAACCCCTGGACTTGAGGTTGCCCACTAGGGCTTGAGAACAAGTATGTGTGGCCATCATGGAGTTGCAGTGCTGAGGAGCATTTCTGCATAATAAATGCACACCCATTTTTTGTCTGTTAAGGACAGCTCATCTTCACTCTGTTGCAGTGTTTTGTGCCCGAGGCCTATGTCTTACAAGAGGGGCGGGACACAGGTGTGATTGCTGGACATAAGGTCAGCAGTTTGAATCTGCGTGACGGGGTGGGCTACCGTTGCTCTGTCCCTGCTCCTGCCAACCTAGCAGTTCGAAAGCACACCAGTGCAAGTAGATAAATAGGAACCTCTGCGGTGGGAAGGTAAACAGTGTTTCTGTTACGGTGTTCCGTTGCGCCAGAAGCAGTTTAGTCATGCTGGCCACGTGACCTGGAAAGCTGTCTGTGGACAAATGCCAACTCCCTTGGCCTGAAGCAAGATGAGCACCACACCCCATAGTCGACTTAACTGTCCAGGGGTGCTTTACCTTTACCTTTTACCTTACAGTAGGCCTTAGTTTGCTTTTAAAAAAAATGTAATCTACCACCACTTGTGACCCTGAGGCATTGTACAACTGGGGTGGAAAGCAGACCCAGAGTTATAGGACAGATTATATTCCTGCAGGCTGTAAGTGAAAGGCAGAAGATCTAGCTGTTGGACAGCCAAGATCCCAGGAGCTGTAAATGAAGCCTCTTCTTTATGCCACCTGACATCCTCCTCTCCCTCCTTGCAGATTCTGATTTGTCAAGGGTGGGGGATGAGCAGCGAGTTCCTCGGGCACATCTGTGTCACCATCAGAAGAGCTCACAAGGTGTCCTCCCCAATGAATGCAGAACAGCCTTAGACCCAGAGGTGTTCTTTGCTCTAGCTCAAGAACTTCTTAGCTGCATTTCTTAAGGTTACAAAGCAAACACTTGGTTCTTTACCTATAACCTCCTCCTTCCTGAGTAGCTTTGTGTTTCTCCATTTGGTGAGGAAGATGAGCAGCGCGTCTGGTGAGGCAGCCCAAACCTACAACTAGCAGCCCAAACCTACAACCCTTCCAGAGATAGAAGGACAATAGCCAACCCTATCAATATCTTTGGCGCTTGCGTGTCATTTTTACATCCCCCTACCAGAGTAGTGTTTTGATAAATATTCCCATCCTAATTTACATTAGGGTGTGTGCTGTGGAGGGAATGCTTTGTGCGTGCTTGTATTTTCTGCTTTGGAATAACTCCAAAGAGAACTCTTGCAGCTGCAGTTCCAAGGACGGTGTACCTTATTCACTGAGGTCTTGAGGAGGAGGGAGGGTTTTTGCGGGGGGATAAGCTTTATAGCCTGGGGGCTCTTGCCACTGCAGTTGCTTCAACAGTCAGAGCCGAAGAAAAAATTCCTGCACGTATGATGTGTGCAGCTGTGTTCTAGATGAAGAAGAAATTCAGGGATCGGTTAGGTGGGCAGGCAAGTGACCCCAAATGATGTTGATTGTATGCCTCTCGGTTGTTAAGCTTGAATGACTGGCACGCAATTATATGTTAACAGACCTGGTGCTTTGGACTGAGGCTTCAAATTCTAGATGAAGCAGAGATGAGCAACTTCTTATTTCAGCTTGCAGCTCGTATTCTCCAGAAGCAGTCAGACATGGGTCCCTGCCTGAATAGGTTCAGAAGACCAGGAATTGCATAGTATCTGCTCTGTGCATGGCGCCTGAATCTGTGTAAGCAGTTCTCCATAAGCTCAGCTCCCCAAACAGCTGCCAACAAGTGGCAATAGACTACAGATCACCACTTTTAACTGCAGAGGAATGTGTCATGATGCCTTAAGGCAGAGGTAGCAGACCTTTGACCCTCCAGATGTTGCTGGACTACCACTCTCATCATTCCTGACTCTTGGCCAAACTGACTAGGACTGATGGGAGTTTGAGTCCGACATCACCTGGAGGGCCACAGGTTAGCTACCACAAGGGTTTAAGAGGCTATAAGCTAAGTCCTCTGTCTGTGTCCTGTAAGCAGAAGAATACAGGAAATCTCAAATCCCAGAGTGACAAAATTCCTACTTTTGCAACCAACGCATCCAAATTTTACATTAGGATTAAATGATGCACATTACAATGTTTTATTTTTGGCGCACACTTGTTGCAGGTGGCATCTCTGCCAGTTTGCATGTTATTTCAGTGGTTTAGTAATGGACTGCACAATATCATGGGACAATATTTAGATTTAAATCAAGGGCTGTCCCGTGGGCATAGCCAAGGGGGGGCAGCTGCCCCCCATCAAGTAAAACAGTAGAAATATTTAGCTAACTGACCGATCACGTTGGTTCTGCCCCCAACAAAAGTCCCCCCCCCCCAAAAAATACTGGCTACGCCCATGGGCTGTACCTGTATTAGGTGAGGACGTCCCACCCTGTGATTACCAGTTTATATCAGTTTGGAGTCCCTTACTGAATTAGCAGAAACCAGTTTCAGCTTCCGCATTCTCTCTGTAGCCCTGATAGCTAAAATTTTCCTTATCTTTCAGTGAACACCCATTAATGATTGGTGGGAGGAACAAGGGAATGGGCTTAACCAGTGAACCTAAAGGACTGTTTTAATTCTGCAGGGCAGGCCCAGGATATTTTCCTGCCCGAGCCAAAGGACAAGATGGTATCCCCTTCCCATTCTATGTTGAGAAGTTGACCAGGCAGGTACTTGAATTTTATCAACACTGGTGATGGGGAAGCATCTTCCTCTGCGCCTGAGGCTCCAAGCTAACTGAAGGGGTGCATAGCAGGCCACAGTTCTGTCCCCTGATCCTAAGCGGCTTGAGGAACCTAATGTCCTTGTGCATCTGCTTCTGAGATGTGGCCACAATAGAAAAGGCACTTCCTGCTCTTACTTCCTCTCATGTGACTTAAACCACATATTTGCACTTGAATGTTGAGGCCTTCAGCTCTTTTTCCAGTGCCCTTTACTTCTTAAGGTTTCTTTCTCACCTAAGCTTTGTCAGTAGCAAAGAAACTGTAGCATGGGGCTCACCCTACGTGCGACTCCTTAATATTTCAAGGTGCATGCTTCCTGTGATGGCATCAAATGTTAGCAGCATGAAAGAGAGAGATGGTTCTCTCTAGGATGTTTGTTCTCTGGCTTTAGAACCTGAGCAGAACTGTCTCTGAATCTGCACCTTAGACCTTACTTTAGGGTAAGGCCCTTTGCATTAGGGTCCCAGAACCAGCGCAGGTTGGATTTCTCTCTCTCCAAATTAATTACTATCACACACACACACACACATACATGCATATGTACATCATTCAGTTATTCTGATGTTAAAACCCCATGAGTAACTTCAGCCTTTGATTTCCAACTCATATCTGGTTTTTGTTTAGGGGTAAGTTAAATTAGACAAGTGCTAGATTAAAGGCAAGAAAAAGAGCCTAGAATAACCAGGAATTCTGCCTGGTTTCTCCCTCAAGGGTAACCTGGTGAAGACGGGGGGTGTCATTCCCTGGTTCTCAGTGGCCTCTGCATCCCAGACAGAGAAAGTTTTGGCCTCTCTTTCTTTTTCTTCTCTATGCCCCATGCAGGGTGCAAGGTGAGGAGAGCATATGATACCCGACATCTCCGTCTCTGAAACTAACATGATCTCCTCAGTATGCTCTATTCTGCATGCCTGAGCAGAAACTGTAACTTTTGACAATGTGTGAATCTGTTGCTTTGCTATTCGGCAGAGTTGAGGCGCGCATGGCAAGCTGCTTTGATAGAGAGCTGGGCCCTTTTTTCGTTTTTTTAAAGGGCGAAAGCAGTACAGTTTCTCTAAAATTTCAAATGCCTTGTGCATTGTCACTCTAATAAATAAGACCAAGACCACCGTTTCCGTGCAGTTCTGAGGACTTTTCTTAAAGCAAGATATGGATGTTGCATGTATTTATTTTTTGTTTAGTTATCATTTCCCCCCCTTTTTTTCAGATATATGTTGGGGAAAGGAGGAAAGCGGAAGTTTGATGAGCATGAAGATGGGCTGGAAGGCAAAGTGGTGTCTCCTACTGATGGTCCATCGAAGGTGTCTTACACCTTACAGCGCCAGACTATCTTCAACATTTCCCTTATGAAACTTTATAACCACAGGCCATTAACAGAGCCAAGCTTGCAAAAGACAGTTTTAATTAACAACATGTTGAGGCGAATCCAGGAGGAACTCAAACAGGAAGGCAGCTTGAGGCCTGTGTTCATCACCCCTTCACAGCCTCCAGACCCTCTTGTAGAAAACTTCCGGGAGGTCCAGCCTGCCTTTAGCCATCTGGCCTCCCCGCCAGTCCACCCCACTGACTCAGCAAGCACTACTACGCCACTGGAGTCTTGCCTCACCCCTGCCTCTCTGCTTGAGGATGACACTTTTTGCACTTCCCAGGCTATCCTACAAGATGGTCCTATAAAACTACCACCTCCAACTATCCAACCAGTAAAGGACAGTTTCTCCTCGGCCTTGGATGAAATTGAGGAGCTCTGTCCAACACCTACCTCCGCTGAGGCAGTAGCAGCTACAGCAACAGAAATGACGGCGTCTGATAACTCTAAAGAGAATTCCAGTGAATCCAGCATTCAGAAGTCCGAGGGAGTCCAGGAGAACAGAATAAATGAACCTAAACTAATGGACTCTTTACCTGGCAATTTTGAGATCACAACATCTACAGGTTTTCTTACAGACTTGACCTTGGATGATATTCTCTTTGCTGACATTGATACTTCTATGTATGATTTTGACCCTTGCACATCTACTACGGGGGCTGCCTCAAAAATGGCTCCCGTCTCTGCAGATGACCTCCTAAAAACTCTGGCTCCCTACAGCACCCAGCCAGTAACCCCCAATCAGCCTTTCAAAATGGACCTAACAGAACTGGATCATATAATGGAGGTGCTTGTTGGGTCTTAAAATATAGCAACTTTTTACAAAAAATGTTCCAGTATAAACACTTGGTAGTATTTTCACAACCTTCTCCCTTCTTACAAATCTACGCAGACAGAGAGACAGACAGACAGAGAGACAGACAGACACACACACACACACACACACACACACACACACACACCACTTTGCATGCATCTTCGCTTGTCTTTTTCTAAAAAGGATCACACTAGTTTTCGCTTCAAGCAGAGTTGGAGTGCCTTCATCCATGTATGACCACTTTTAATGTATTTTTGAAAGTGGTTCCTCAAGGGAGACCTGAAATCCTGATATGGGGGGATGCATATTGTAAACAATATTAATATGTTTGACAAAAAAATGAATTGTAAAAGCTAAGCACAAGGATTATGTTGGGGAAAAGCTGTAAATTGCATGTGCATATTTGTCTATTTTTTCTATAAGTTTTACTGCAAGAGGTGAAAATATTATTTAGATAATCGCTGTAACTTTTTGGCATTTTAGCCCTGTCTAGGTTGACATAGCAATTCAGCCTTTTTAGAGGTATTGACTATTCCTCTTTAAATGTTGCATTTACATGGCTCTTAAAAGAAAAATTCCTGCTACCCAAATTTATTTTATATTTTTGTACAGATTCTGCAATTTATGATATTGGGGTCTTTTCTTAAAAAAAAGGAAAAAACAAAATCAAAAAACAAAAAGCTGTTTATACTCACACACAAAAAAGGAAATAGCTATTTTGGTAGGATTTGCTCACCCAGTTCCTGCATACAACTTCTGATGTATAAGAACTGCTTGTAGTTTTATACAGACTTGTAGTGTTTTCTATGTGTATAATGGTGCAAAGAGAAATTTGGATCAAATCATTCTAAAGTTGGCCTCCCAGAATCCAGACACACATGCTTGAAGGAAAAGGCCAAGGGCTCTTCCCTTTTAAAGTTTCACAAATATCTGCTCCCTACCGCGTACTACTGTGATTTTAACAAAAACCTTAGAGCCATGTCTATTCCAACACTGATGTCAAACAGTTGGCAGGAAATAGCTGTGAAACTTCATTCTGATTAAATTCCCTGTTCCTCCCTCCCTGCCCCACCCTAAAACGATCAAGAATGGGTTTTTTTTAAATCATGAAATGAAGCATTTAAAAAAAATTAAAATACTAAAACCTGACTTCTACCACATTCTTAACAGAAAATTAAGCATCCTTAAGCTCATTTGCTTGGGAAAGGCCCATTATGTGAGCTGGTCAAGGAGCAAAAATTTAGGATCCAAATTAATGGCCTTCTGTGTGCTTAACTCTCTGTTGGATTGCAGCCATTGTATTTGCATCTAGTCTTAGAATGTCATGACTTAGTAAGTTGTAATTATTTTTAAATGGAACCATATTACAACAATGTGTCTAGCCTTTTTTTAAAAATTTTTTTATTATTTTTTGGCTGCATAAACTGGCTATGCTTACTTTGAAAGTAAGTTGCATTGAAGTCAGTGATGCTTTCTTCCATGGAAATGTGTTTTGGGGTCTTGGGAGGAGGAAATGGTGTAACGCGAATATACTGTGTTCCTTTGAATTAGTCTTACCTTTCGCCTTTTCTTAGAACATACTCACTGTGTTAACAAGTGCTGGGGAAAAAGAAAGAAACTTCAGTATTACTGCAGTGAAATCATCTCTTATCAGCACTGGATGGACTCACTCAAATATCCACTGCTGTCTGAACTGGAGCCTGTCCCATGGCGAACTCTTGGTGTCTTCTCTAGGGTTGGTTTCTTGAACTGACTGTGTTACCTGTTTTATTTTGACTCGACAACTGCAGCTCTCTATGCATGTCTCCCTTCCAACTGCAGTCTTCTCATTACAGCTTCTGTTGCAATTCCCGCCCCCTCTGTTTTCATTTGTGATGTACATTTATTTTAAAGAAAACTTGCAATGTTATCTATCATGCCTGTTGCTGAAATTGCTATGGCATATTAATTTTAAATGGTACTTAATTGAGTGCAGGTTACAAACTATATTGTTGATATGCATATGGCTTCTTTAGGAATAACTTTTATATTTATTTAAGAATTTTTAAATTATGTTTTATGTAATTTGGCCATATTCAGTCAGTTCTGCTCACTTCTTGTCATGGATTTTAAAAAATGTGTCTTGTCTGCCTTTAAGAAGGCAGCTTTATAAAACTGGCACTTTAGAACAGGCCATCTCTATTTATTTAAAATGCATATAATGTATTATGTGGCATGCACACTCAGATCCTCATTCCCTTACCAACCAACTTGGCAAATAGAGAATTGCTTGTCTGAGCTAAATGCATCGATTAAATCCCAATTCGGCCATTAGTTTTTAATATTTTGAAAAGTGTCACTCAGTGTGAAATAAGTTTGCTTATCATCAGTATGGCAGAGGGTGAGCCATTCAAAATTCCTAATGACAGGGTGTAATAACTCATCTAGATCCATGTATACAGCTGGTGGTATATAAACCATAAATATAAATTAGCCGGTCACACAAAACTCTGTATTGGTGGAGTCTAGCCTTATCAATAACTCCAAAAAATTTACTAGCCCACGGCAGTTTCTACTGGCCCACTGACCTATCCACATCTGCTCTAGAATTGTGCAGCACCAGAGTAGTCTGAAGTTGAAAGAGCCAGCTCACTTCAGAGTTATAGAACCTTCTCTCTGGGATTGAACTGTAGATGATGCTTCTGTGCCCCAGGCCAAGTTACTAGTTACAGCTTTGGGTGCAGATATTGAAAACTGGAGAGTAATCACATGCATTACAGGCATGGCTCAGCAATTGTTAAACTTACTCCAAACATCTCTCTGCTGGTGCAATATTAAGTTCAGGCTAAAATCCATACCGTTGTAAGCATCATTAAGAAGAACAGCAATGTAAAATAAGTGCTTTCACCATTGTTAAAATCTGATTCTACACTAACTTAGAAACAACTGTCCTCCTCTTTGGACTAGCTAAGAATTTAAACAAGTTCCTTATGTTGGAACATCGTTTTTAGAGCAAAGCAGTAAGTTGTTTTTCAAAAACTGGCCCTTGTACCCTGCACAGTGAATCCATTATAACTTTTGTAGCTGAAGTCTATCTTAGAATATAATTTGGAGCAAATGGGTGGCATACGTGACCAGGAAAAGCAACGTCTCTATAGTATTTTGTGTCCAAGTGCCCAAGTGTTTCTTATAATGCATTGTAGCCCTTGAATATATGAACTGAAATAACTTCTGCTCCTGGATAGCCTTCTCCCCAGTGTGACTCACATTTCTTGAAGGGCCAACTTTTAAGAGGCTATGATTTCTCTCCCCCGCCCCCAAAGGCATGAATACTAGGGGATTTTTATTTACACTCATGTGCAATGAAGTTACAAGAAGAGAGCAGAATTTAAAAGAGCTTTTTTGAACCTGAAGTAATTTTTTCCATTTTGTTTTCCATAAGTTATTTATTCCTTCTTATTTTTCCTTTTGTAAATATATTTATTTTATTGTGAAGCTAACAACATCTGGATTGTAACATGTACAGAATGTATGGTAGGAATGTATTCTCTGGTAGGAATGTAAATCCATACGAGAGGGGAATGAAAGTTAGGTTTGAAGAATAACTGGGTTCTATTCAGGATACATGTCATTCACAAGATTCTTCCCCCATTTCTCTACTCCTCCCATTCTACTATGAGTAGATCTGGTTGGATAGAATTATGCAAAAGAAAAAAAAGAAAAAATGGTTTATAGACTTAGTTATAAAAATTGAGCTGTTTTGTATTCTTGGTTACTTTTTAAAAGGGCCAGATCCTGTTTTCAGCAGCCAAGCATGGCCTTGGATTCTCTGAGGCTTTGACACACCACCTTTGCCCCTTTAGAGACCTTAAGCAATTTATTCTCACACTGGTACTTGAGTCGGACAGGTGTGTTAGGGCAGCATAGTCTGAGTATGCTTGCTGATCACTGTAAACATGCACACAAAGACCTGGCACCTAGCTTGTTGTTGAGCAGGGCACTAGCATAGTGAGAGAGGAGAGGAGGTTTCAGGCCAGCTTTCAAAGTGCACAGTTGAACTGGTCATTAGGAAACAGTCTGACCACGCAAGAAGAAACAATGTACGTCTCCAATTATGATCCATTAAAATTAGGAGTTGATTGTGTGGATTATACCTTTGCTAAATTGCCCCTCAAATATTTTTAAAGTGTTTTGGAAGTGTTAGGCGGTTTTTTCATTTTTCGTTTGGCCAGGGAGTTTAACTGGGTGGGATGTACCCGCACAATCTATTAACAAAGCCAAGTGAGATTGGCCTTGACATTGCACCTAAAAGTTGGCAGTCCTTTCCCTCTGCTTTCTGGACTAATGTAGTACAATCTGCTGCAAAAAGGCATGTTCAGACATTTGTGTTGCATTATTTACTTTTTAAAGGCTTTAAACATTTTAAACGCATGTGCAGTACAGTGGTACCTCGGGTTACATACGCTTCAGGTTACAGACTCTGCTAACCCAGAAATAGTGCTTCAGGTTAAGAACTTTGCTTCAGGATGAGAACAGAATTCGTGCTCCGGCGGTGCGGCGGCAGCAGGAGGCCCCATTAGCTAAAGTGGTGCTTCAGGTTAAGAACAGTTTCAGGTTAAGAACGGACCTCCAGAACAAATTAAGTACTTAACCCAAGGTACCACTGTACTAGCCAGGGTGCTGATGAGTAGAGAGCACTATTGAAAGAAGCCTGACATGGATCAGACCCAACAAAGTTGAGTTTCCTTGGGTATGCATGTACTTGCCCCGGCACTGCCATGGAGAACCTCCTAGGACAAAACTAAGCAGGGGGAAGAGGAATACAGTGGTTTGGAGGCTTGCCCCCTGAATAGATAATGCAACTTGTAGTGACTTTGCTAGTCTTGCGAGTGCCGCATGGCTTGCAGAGATCAACTGGCCAATATGTGAAACTGAGGGAGGAAACCTATGTGGGCAAAAATGGAGGCGTTTTTTGAACAAAAGCTGTTTTCAGGATATTATCACTAGTAAAGTATGAGCATTTGCCTTCATATGTTTTTGCTGCTCATCAAAGGAATTTGCTAATGCAAGTGCAGACAGTAGATCTTGTTAGGGCAAACATTAAAAAAAAACCAGACACACTTTCCAAAGGTTTGCAAAAGTGTGCTTCAAGATAGGTTAAAGTAGTGCTGAGGAACATAACAGGTCTTCAGAAGTGCATTTTGTGCTGGTGTGAAACAAAACTTTTCTCTGCCCTCCCCACCTTTTAAAGAGATAGCTGAACGCCAGAAGATTTCGCACATCACCTTTCGCCTGTCTTACACTACAGACCCTGAGTTTGAGAGTAAGAACTCCCCAGCATTCCTGTTCCCGGAGATAATCCAGGAATATAACAGTTCTAAGCACCCTCACTAAACTACAGTTCAGAGAGAAGTCATGCTAAACCATTACAAAACCAATTAGAGTTTGTAGATTTGCTGTGCCCTTGCTCCCAGGCTTCAGGTCCAAAGAACCACGAGTGTGCGCCAGTACGCTCTGAATTCTCTCCCTGCCACCATTATTCCTTCTGCAGAATGGGTTGCCTGCTGGAAGAAGAGGTGAGTGCCTGGCCTCACTGTGTGCTTGGGCACCACTGGAGCCAGTGAGCCCTACGTATGCAGGGACTTTATGGTGGTGGTGTTTCTGACCATCCCAGCCTCCTGTGTGGGTGAAGATTCCCTCACACATTGCCCTTACTGACTGGTTGCTCATGTTTACAGCGAGATGCATAATACAATCGCAATTTTTCCAAAGTGACTAGTGTGAGAATAAATTGTACAATGTGCGATTTTCCTGATGTCTTACAAACCCTGACTGAAAAGTTTACAGTTAAAGAGAGAGAGAGAGCAGATGTAAATGTCCTCCCCTGAAAAATCATTTATTGGCTCTAGAATGTAATTGTGTGTGTCTCTCTCTAACAAAAACCCACAAGAAACACCCCCACACAAACAGTATCTTGCTTTTCTTGAACGTTACAATGCTTATAATATTATGGCTGAATTTTATTTTGGAAATTTTAGCTCATTTTATAGCCTTTTGTTTTTCAATGCTAAAAATAATCCTAATGCAAATTCTGGGTTTTGTTTTGTTTTTTTAAAAGCTTTTTTTAAATAAAAAAACACTTCATAAATGCTTAACAGTGTAATCCATACTAGACTGTCTGAAGGCAGAGATTCAGGGGTGAGGGGGAGAAAATATGTAAATAGTCTAACATGTTTGGTGCATGGTTATTTAAACAGGGCTTGTTTTTGCCAAAAAGGCTGTATTTTCTCTTCCCCCTGTCCCCACCCCCAAACCACAGACCTTAGAGCTGTGCCTTTTCTATGCAATATTGCAGACATACACATCTGAAACCAGATTACTGTATTCACTTGTAGGTATGAGCTGTAATAAACAAAACAAAAAACAGTTGGGCAAATTACATGGAAATGAGCAGTCTTACTTTTGTAGTTTTATATTATACAATAAACAGTTTAAAAAGAAACACAGCTGTCCTTGGTTCAGTGTTCGGTATTTTCATATAGTAGGAGTCAAAAGAGAAAGAAAGTACCGTACTGTGTGCAAGAACAAGGGGGGAGTGGATGAGATTTGTGGATTGGAGGGGGGTAAGAACGGCCACAAATACCCCAAGGCAACTTCACTGCTGACTAGAGAGACTAGATAGGATTTACAGCTGATACTGTACCCAAGGATAGCTGTTGGCACCTGTCTGACAATGGAGTGCACCTCCACGGGTGAAGTCAAACTGCTGCCTTAGTGCCAAAGTGACCTCTGCCTGGCGCAAGCCTGGGCAGGTGTGTGTGGAGGTCCTGGGCTGCCCAGACAACATGGATGTGGCCCAAAGGAAAACAGAGCAATATGTTTGGGCATCATTTTTATTCAAAAATTCCTAGCTTTCCAGGTTGACTTTGTAGAAGAAGCTTGCTCAGAGAAAGAAGTTCTCAAAATTTGTTTCCAGTCCTTGTGAAATGTCAATACTGTAATTAGTTAAGGCTCTGTATTCTAAGTTCTCAGACCTATTCAAATGTTAACTTGCAGTTCTTCCTCTTAAAAGGCTAGTAAGTGTTTATAAAGGTGCACCAACATTTTCAAAGCAGTTTCTAGACATACACCACAATAAGACAGATGCTTCATACATATTATGGGGGACGCGGGTGGCGCTGTGGTCTAAACCACTGAGCCTCTTGGGCTTGCTGATCAGAAGGTCGGCGGTTCAAATCCCCATGACAGGGTGAGCGCCTGTTGCTCGGTCCCTGCTCCTGCCAACCTAGCAGTTCGAAAGCACGCCAAAAGTGCAAGTAGATAAATAGGTAGCGCTCCGGCGGGAAAGTAAACGGCGTTTCCTGTGCGCTGCTCTGGTTTTGGTGTTCCATTGCACCAGAAGCGGCTTAGTCATGCTGGCCACATGACCTGGAAAAACTGTCTGCGGACAAATGCCGGCTCCCTCAACCTGTAAAGCGAGATGAGCGCAACAACCCCAGAGTCGTCTGCGACTGGACTTAACTGTCAGGGGTCCTTTACCTTTTACCTTTCATACATATTACCAGAGCAAACCCTAAAACAGGCCTGTAAAATGAGACTACAAAAGGCCATTAAGTCCTGTTACCAGCTGGCAACATGAGAAAGTGAAACGCAGATGAACAGAGGTTTCCCCCCAGTTTCTAGGATTTTGCTTTTCTTCCTTTCTCAAGGCCCTTAACAATCAACTATTTGAATGCCAGCACTCTGGGGATTGTCCCAGAAACTAACATACAGTTCACATTCATTAAATATTGTTGCATGCCCCCCCCCAATCTCCAAGCAGTGAGAGATTCCAGGGGTTCCCGGCACTTACCCAGGGTTAGTGTTTCCTTTTGGAATGAGGCACAGCAGAGACTGTGGTGTCTTTAGGACCTATGGCTTATTTATACTTATACAACCTAAGCCTATGATGGAGAGGTTCACAGAATAAACACCCCAAAATTGATCTTGTTTCTCCCATAGCTTTGCATTCCCACAGCCTTGCATTCATGTAGAGATCTGGTGTGGCTCTCTGCTTGCTGCTTTTCCTCTAGTTCACACCATAGCCTCAAAACTACTTCAAACTCTGGCTTTGTCCTTCTAACTGTCTCTGAGTTGAGGGAGGGTCCCCTCCCATTTGCCATTTTGCACAGAGACACCCTTTCCTTTGTTCTCTTAAATGGCTCCTCGCCTCATCAGAAATCTAGCCTGGCTTATAGTTTAACACTTGCTGGGTCCAGGGGTTAGAAGGGTCTCAACTCCCCCCCACCCGCAACTCATAACACTATCAATTACTGTTCATTATTTGCAATATATTCTTTTGCAATGGTAGTTATCAGATTAAAAAGGATCAACGGTGTTCTGATTTGTGTGTTAGGGATCTGCCCCATCATATACTTACATTACAGGACAGACTTGTCACCTTTGCAATCCTGAGAACTATACTTTTCCCCTACCCCCTGCCAAATAAAACCTGAAATTTTCAAGAAATCATGTTCTGCACCCTAATGATGGTTTTGCGGACCGTGGGCATGCTTAAACACAGTAGTTTGGATCCTAATATAAGTTAGCCTAAGGAAGCATAGCTTCTTGGAGGAAGGGGGAAATTGCCCCAAAGAGTCTTGCATTGTCTTGCACAGGGTTTGGCAACTTCCCCCTCCCTCATCAACCCCCCCCCCACATGCCTTTTCACATTGTTCAGCAGGGCCCCCTGACACCCCACTTCTGGATAGGATCTTCAAGAAGCTTCAGTGACTGCAAGGAGGGATTGGAAATTTTCCTTCTGTGAACTTCCTGAAGTTAACTTATAACTGGTGACTTGGATTCTGAGATAGGAAAACCTAGAGCCAGAGTTTCAGTCATGCATGCTGGCTTCCTCATGCAAAGTATTTTCTCCATGAAAGCAGGCAACTGAGCCAGTGGGGGGCGGTGGGAACGTCTGCATTCAGATAATCTCTTCCTAAGGCAGATGCTCAACTCACTGTACATTAACATTCATGTACAAAACTAGGAGTGGGGTTTACTGCTGCTGCTGCTTCCACTCAAAACCTCCGGACTGCAGGCACTGTGATCTAAGGTTTGCAAGAATAAGTTGGCAGAAATATAACTCTCTAAATTCCCTCCCCCACCCAGTGGTAAAACTTGTCTGCCTCAGACATGCATAATTTCAAGAGGAAGGTTTTTGAACAGCGCAAGTCAACAGAACAATTTGCAAGTTATGACAGGTTAAGTCTGCAGCTCACTCCAGGGCCGTGTCAGGAAGCAAAGCTGCTGCCGCCTTCTTCAGGTAATAGGTTCATTGAGAAGTTGGGATTTGTGCTTTATGGTTCTGCATTTGTCCTATGGAACCATAGGCTGCAATCTTCAAAAAGCAGATCAGTAGCCAGTAGCATTGGCTACAGCATCCCTTCTACATAATCAACAACTATATATATAGTCCTTCTGTACATAATTCCTGCTATGTACAATTGATTGTTCTGTAATGCTCTCCTAGCTCTAAAAGAATATTGTAAAAATATTATTTTGATTATTTAATTTCTATACCACTTAATATATGAAAAATATCTCTAGTAAAGGTAAAAGTAAAGGGACCCCTGACCGTTAGGTCCAGTCGCGGACGACTCTAAGCAGTGTACAAAAAACTGAAGCAAAAATAGACAAACAAAATACTACAAAAATATACATTTACATATAAAAAATTTACATCAGTACAAAGATACTAATATATATAAATCAATATCAATCCGTTTTCCTTCTGCCACACCCTCCCTCTTAGCCTTTGGGTTCTCACCCAGGGTCCAAACTCCCAACACATCCATAAAATCTCACAAGGAGAAGAGTTCCTGGAACCAGCAGACTGTTGGATTTTTTATGATGTGCCAATTGCCATAAAAACGACAGCTACTTGATTGATCAGGCCCAGCACACTTCCATTCAGCAGAGCAGTAAAGACACACAGCTTCCAGCATGCAGAGACCCAGGTTGGAGTAGTGATAAATCACAGGACAACCATGCTTCAGACAGACTTTCTACTGTCAGGCAAATTAAGACGCTTAACTATTACAGTTATCTACAAGAGTGAGTCCATTAGCAGCAGCCAGAGCCCTGACCACAGTCCATACACTTGTATCTCAGCAGTCTGCAGCCTTGAGTCCCATCAGACCATCTTGAGTCCATCCTGGAGAGTCAATGCACAACAAAAGCAAAGCTGCTTTTATAGAACCCGCACACATCAGGACCAGGCCAGTTTTTTACCATGCTGCCAGATGAAGGCTAATATAAGGAATATAATTGATATAATAGAATATATGGAGGTTAGAAATGATAAGCAAGCAGCACTGATGTTTATAGATGCAGAGAAGGCCTTTGACAACATTTCATGGACTTTTATGAAGAAGACCATAGAGATGATAAATTTTGGAGAGTCATTCCTTAGAGGAATTGATGCAATCTATTCTGACCAACAGGCTATGCTGATAGTAAATAATGTAATAACAGAAAAATGCAAAATAACGAAAGGCACGAGACAGGGATGTCCCCTGTCACCATTATTGCTTATTTTAGCTTTAGAGACCCTGGCTAGAAGTATATGATCAGATGAAGAAATAAAAGGGATAACAGTAGGTTACAAAGCAGAAAAACTTAAGGCATTTGCAGGTGACCTTGTGGTAACTGTCTAAGACCCTATGGCTAGCATACCAAGGGTCTTGGATCAAATTCTCAAGTTTGGAGAAGTAGCAGGTTTAAAACCTAAATAAAAGTAAAACGAAAGTATTGGTGAAAAATGTGACAGAGCAATATAAAAAAGACTTACAATGAGTGACAGAACTGATGATTGAGAATAAAGTTAAATATTTAGGAGTATGGGTAACAGCTAAGAACATAAATATTTTAAAGGATAACTATACAAGAATTTTATTTTTATTTGATCAGCAATGCAGGACACTTCAAAGAATGGCAAAAAATGAAACACAGGTGCCACCAAAGTAGGGTCAAATAGACAAGATGATGGAGAAGGCATGATCGGATTTCCCAACATTTACAATTTTTGAAAAACAGCATGTGCAGGAGTGGCAATGTCTGGACTAGAACTACAGCAGTTGAGAAGAGGAATATAGCTCATCCTTCCACACCATTCTCCCAATTAAAATACCCCCAAGCTATTATTTACCCCATTAGAAGGAACTTCCTTAGGAAAGCAGCACGAGGGGACACGATTAACACACCCTGATCCCTCCAGCACCACCACCATTCAGATTTGATTTAGCAAAATGTAAAGAGAGGAGAGGAGATCCCATCACAGACCTCTATCATCTTGTGAGCCTTGAAGACACACAAGAACAGTGGAAGGGGTGGGGGAGGAGGAAAATGAGTTTGGCAACAGGCAGAAAGAAAAGGTGAATTGTCAACCAGTATTTTCATCTAGTTGGGATTAGGCTGATCTGCCCTGGCTGCTGGTCTCAGTGAGATTGAGATGTTGGAGTG